GGAATAATCCCAAATAATACCATGGAATAACCCTAAATAAATCCATGGAATAACCCCCAATAAACTCCAGGATGCATTCCCAGAGCAACCTGTGAATGTGGAATAAATCCCAAATATACACCAAGGATGTGTTCCCGGAGAAATCTGGGAATAAGCCCAAATACACACAAATATATATACACAAATATAATATTTGGGAGTAAATCCCAAATATTCAGCATGGATGTGCTCCTGGAGCAATCTGGGTATAACCCCAAATACACACAAATATATATACACAAATAAAATATTTGGGAGTAAATCCCAAATATTCAGTATGGATGTGCTTCTGGAGCAATCTGGGAATAACTGGACACCCAATCTGAGGAACCCTCCATCCCAAATCCCAGCATTCCCCTGCTGCTTTCCCATTCCAGCTGGCAGGGAATTCCTCCCACAGCGCCACTTTTAAATTAAATCTCACTTTTCCAGCCCATTTTTGGCTCTCCTGGAGCAATCTGCTCCCTGTGCCAGCTGGGATGGGATGTGGGAAAACCTGCACCCTCTTCTTAGGAAAAGGAATATTTTTTCAATATTTTTTCAATATTTTTGAAATCCCAACAAAGCCACCTTGTGGGACATTCCCTGGGAACGAGACTGCTTCCCAAAAGTTCCCATCCTGCCTAAGAACTGTGGGGTTTCAGGGATCTGCTCCCCTCCCAGCACACGGGATGCATTCATCCCTTGCTGTGGTGACCCCAGGGAGTCAGGAATTCTGGAATAGTTTGGGTTGGAAGGGCATTAAATCCCATTTATCCCATCCACCCAGGGACACTCCCACTGTCCCAGGCTGCTCCAGCAGGAAAATCCAGAGAAATCCCCTTTTCCCTGCACTTCCAGCAGTGCCAGAAATCCCAAATAAACCCCATCCCACCCCACCCAGAGCTCACATTCCCTTTCCCAACCTAAGGAATCCTAAGGAATAATCTCACAGGAATTGTTTTTTTTCTGATGGACAGATCATTTTTAATTCCTGTAGGAAATCCTCTCAGAGCTTCAAGTTTTCAGGGCATTCTCCAAGCAGGATAAAACCACTTGGAGAATTTAACAGGAAACTAAACAGTTCAGTACTTCCATAAATAAAAGTAAAATTCAGTAATAAATCAAGTTTTCCTTGGCTAAAGCAAACCCCTGGAGCTGTAAGAGATTCCTGCCAGGAATTGTCATTATTTTTCTCTAATTAAAAGACAT